GCTCGTCTTCTGACGTGGGTCGAACTAGTTTAACACAACATTGAATCGATACCGGCGATCATCTCCCGATCAAGCAACATCCAAGGCGTCTACCGTTTGCTAAACAGGAAGAGGTGCGAACACTTTTAAGAGATATGGAAGAAGGCGATGTTATCGAGCCTTCAGTGAGTCCATGGGCATCTCCCATCGTTCTCGTCAGAAAGAAAGACGGCTCAACAAGATTTTGCGTTACGAAGAAAGACAGTTACCCTCTTCCTAGAATCGGCGACATTCTAGACACTCTTTCTGGAAGCAAGTGGTTCTCAACGCTTGATTTAAAAAGTGGGTATTGGCAGGTAGAAATAAACCCTGAAGACCGAGAAAAGACGGCATTTACTACGGGTCAAGGGCTTTGGCAATTCAAGGTGATGCCGTTTGGACTGTGTAATGCGCCGGCAACATTCGAACACCTTATGGAGACTGTTTTGAAAGGTCTTTCCTACGAAGCCTGTCTGATATACCTGGACGATATCATCATCGTCGGAAAGAGTTTTGAAGAGCATCTAGAAAATCTTAGAAAGGTGCTTCAGAAACTGAAAGAGGCCAATCTGAAGCTGAGTCCCGCTAAATGCAAATTGTTCCGAAAGGAAGTGACTTACCTGGGACATGTCATCTCTGCAGAAGGTGTGTGCACGGATCCTGAAAAGGTGTCAGCCGTTAAATCCTGGAAACGTCCCGAAAACGTCCATCAGTTGAGAAGCTTCCTAGGGCTTTGCACATACTATAGGAGATTCGTGAAGGACTTTTCTTCCATCGCAAGACCCCTTCACAAGCTGACAGAGAGCAAGCAAAGATTCTTGTGGACAAAGGAATGCGAGGATGCATTTAACAACTTAAAGGAAGCTTTAACATCTGCTCCAATCCTGGCGTATCCTCAGCTCGACAGACCATTTATTCTCGACACGGACGCGAGCAATAAAAGTGTCGGTGCTGTTTTGTCCCAAGAAATAGACCGCCAAGTACGTGTAGTAGCTTACTGGAGCAAGTGCCTGTCTAAACCGGAGAGGAATTACTGTGTCACTAGGAAGGAGTTGCTCGCCATAGTTAAAGCCGTAGAGCATTTCCATCATTATCTATAGGGCAGGAAATTCCTCCTCCGCACGGACCATGCCTCATTGGCCTGGCTTTTAAATTTCAAGAATCCTGAGGGTCAAATAGCCAGGTGGATACAGAGACTCCAAGAATATGACATCACTATCCGTCATCGTAAGGGATCATCACACGGGAACGCCGACGCCCTGTCTAGAAGACCTTGCCCAGAAAGCTGCCGATATTGTTCCAGGGTGGAAGCGAAATACGAGCTGCTGACTCCCGTCGCAAGACAAATTACAACATCAACATCGGCTGATCGAGACCCGTGGAGTGATGATGAAGTCAGGAAAGACCAGCTGGAAGACCGTGACATTAAACCCATAATTGATTTAATGGAGTCATCAAACAGAAAACCTACCTGGCAAGACATTTCTATCTGTAGTCCTACAACAAAACAATACTGGGCACTCTGGGATTCACTTCACATTCGAAACGGCGTCTTATACCGGAAATTCGAATCGGATGATGGGAAGACGTTCCGATGGCAAATGATACTTCCAAGATCCCGGATTCCTGATGTCCTTAAAGAACTACATAACAGCCCTACAGGAGGTCACTTTGGAATAATGAAGACCTTGCAGAGAGCTCGTGAGCGCTTTTATTGGAATAATGCAAAGGATGACGTACAAAAGTGGTTCCGATCATGCGATGCCTGTACAGGTCGGAAAGGACCGAGGAAACGCAGCCGAGGCAAGCTGCAACGTTACAACGTAGGTGCGCCGTTTGAACGTATCGCCTTTGACATCTTGGGACCTCTACCACGAGCTGCTGATGGCACCAAATACATACTCGTTGTCATTGATTACTTCACCAAGTGGCCTGAAGCGTATCCCATTCCTGATCAAGAGGCTGTCACAATAGCTGAGGTGATGGTACAGCACTGGATTTACAGGTTCGGAGTTCCTCTTCAGTTACATTCCGATCAGGGAAGGAATTTTACGTCGGCAGTAATCAAAGAACTCTGCAAATTACTTGGCATTGACAAAACCCAAACGACGCCATTACATCCCTAGTCGGACGGCATGGTAGAGAGGTTCAATCGAACCATCCTTAATAACCTCTCATTAGTGGTTTCCAGAAACCAACAGGATTGGTATAAGAAATTGCCACTGTTTTTACTGTCTTACCGCAGTGCTGTCCACGAGACTACCGGCTATTCCCCATCACAGATGCTCTTCGGTCGTGATCTTCGTCTGCCTTGTGATCTATTGTTTGGCCGCCCTCCGGATGCTCCTTCATCGTCTGAGGAATATATTCAAGATCTCCAGGCCCGGTTTGAAGTGATGCACAACTTTGCACGAGAGCGAGTCAACTTGGCGATAGAGAAGATGAAGACCCGCTACGACACAAGAGCTACTGAACATCAATTCCGTGAAGGAGACAAGGTGTGGTTGTGGAATCCGACTCGACGGAAAGGACTTTGTCCGAAATTACAGTCACCTTGGAATGGCCCGTACACAGTCCTAAAAAGGCTGAATGACGTCGTGGTTCGGATTCGTAAGTCTTCGAACTCTAAACCTAAAGTCGTTCATTACGACAGGTTAGCTCATTACTATGGCCATAGTAAGTAATGTAAATAATTGTAAATAGTATAAGACCATGTTCCTTTTTGTTTTTAAATGTGTATTTGATTTGATTTGTATTTAGTATTTGATTTGCATTTAGTATTTGATTTGTATTTGATAGCATTTGATTTGTTTTATTTATTGCATTTATTGTTCATTTGTTGTTTATTATTGTAATGCAATGCTTATTAATGCATTTATACCACAGTTGTAAGTTTACCTTCCTGTCCAGGGATTGTACTGCCCGGGACGTGCAATCCCTGGGAAGGGGCAGTGTTACGAATTTGGTATTTAAAAAGCTAATGTTAGTTCAATTATAAATTAAATAATTTTATTTCTCGCGCAGTGCAGCGCGTGACGAATATTAAAAGAAAGCTAAGCCGGAAAAATTGAAAATACAAGAGCGCGTGCATTAAATAAATAAATATGTCTTTTTGATTTCGAGAAAGTACCAGAAAATTCTAGCGCGTGATTTTTAAAATCTTATAAAAGGAGGAAAACATCTCAGTTCGTAGTAGTTGCTTAGTTTATTGTTGTTTAAAAACTGCTCTTGTTGATTGTAGCGAATTCGAATTCGCGGATTAGCTTTCTTTAGCTGTTTTGAATTACGTTCTATTGGACATTTGAGTAGTTAAAAGATAATTACTGTGAGATACTGTAATACTGCATGATAATTTGAGAAAATTTAAGCATTTTTGTTGTGATAATAATAAATTTTTTTCATTTTTCATCGGACTTGTGCATTCATTTCATAACGAACCCGTACACACGCAACAATAGTTTATGAGCCAAAGGTTGGATGCGGAATGAAAAAATTATAACCTTCGAGTAGGGTGATCGTCGGCTCCAAAATGTCGGCGAAAGAAATTTCTAAAAGATGCTGTCTTTTGTCAAATTTTAAAACACAAAAAGTAGTACTGGCTCAACGTGGAGGAAAAGGAAAAATATATGTTATTAAAAGATAAAAATCTTCACGTAATTCACGTCAGTACGTCTTAGAAACTAAAACACCCCATTTTTTTTAGTAAAAGCTAGAAGATATACAGTTATTAAATTTACAAAATAGTAGAAAGAAAGTATAAATAATAACTGAAAGGAAAAGGAAACAAGATCTTTGCACATACTTACATTAAATTTCTTACCGTAGTCATCCAACTGTTACCTCCTGCTAAGGTTTAAGTAATGATTATCATATGATTATCATAGATGAGAAATTTAAAAAAGGAAGTTAATACCAACCTTTTTTAGAGTTAGATAAATTTTGAATAGATGTGTTTTATTCTCGAAGAGAATTTTGACTAAGTTAGTGATTTTATCTTTCGACATTGTTTGCAAATATTTTTTTATTCTAAGGAGCTGAGTGAGTATGTATGGTATTCAGTATTACTTTTTTAAGATACTGGAGTGCCAATGAATAAGTTTTATAATACGGAAATTAAAATCTCCTCTTTTGTCGTAAATTTTGATATCTTTAATATTATTTGTATATATTGATATTTGCAAATCTAGATAAATAATATCTCTTTGTTAAAGTTATTTTTATTGAATTTCAAACATGAAGGATAAATGTGAACGTATTCTATTTTATTGTAATTGTTTATTGCAATAATATCATCCATGCATATGTAAATGTTAAAGTAATATGAACGTTGTACTTGAGATAACTGTAATTTGAAATGAAATTCTTTTGGTGAAAAGGTACAAATTACAAATTGCTGAACTTAATGCTAATTCCTATCGGGATACCGCTGGTTTGTTTAAAAAAAGCATTATTAAATACAATATAGTTATGAAAAAGAATGCTTGAATAACTTATCTTTAATAACTAACTTTCTTTAAATATAGCTGCCATTCTTATTTGGAAATAATCGTAAAACTTGTGGAAATAAATCGGGTAGAGTTAAAAGACTGCCAAAGACTTCTTGTACGGAAGAGCCGTGTTTTAATTCTCAAAGTCGTAGCAGAAGATATTTTTAATTCTTAAAGTGCGAAGCGCTTCTGGTTATTACTTAGTATCGGTTCGTTATTTCTTAATTATTTATATTTATTTTCACAGTTAGAAATAGTGTTTCAGTAGCATCACCTAAGAAATAAATCACAGACTGAAAACGGTAGATTGCATACTACATCATTACGAAAAAATTAATAAAAAACATCTGGATATTGATTGCAATCAGTCATTCGGATGTGCAATTTTCATTTCATCACGTTTTTTTCCCTCCCTCTCTTTACTTCTAAGAGTTAAAATTTGTGCAAGTAATTTGAATTTAATTAATTACTTTTTAAAATGCTTAATTTCTTCTTAAAGGGTACACTGATAAGAATCTTTGATACATCTTCTGGGAATTTGTTGAATGAATTAAGAAGAGGAGCTAACCAAGCAAATATATACTGGTAACCTATTTTATGGAGCATATTCCCATTGTAATCTTATTAATTGTTATATTAAGTCACTGTAACTATGGGGATGGTGAAGTTGTTATATGATGTTAGATTTTGATATAATAAAACATAGTGCAATAGTGGCATTAAAATTCTTAAGTACTTTTCATACGTAGTGTTGTGTACTCTTTTGGAAGAGAGCTCTTATCGTTTGAGTTCAATTTTGTAATTAATGCATTTTAATCATTTCTTTGCAGTTAAACCTTTTTTCATAAATTACTAAATAAGTTATATTTTATATAGTAAATTACAGACATTTTTCATTCTTTAAGCTGAGATTGCTTAAATTTTATACATAAGTTGATTTAACTGAAAGAATTGATTTTATTGTTTAATTTGTTAATTATAACTTACAAAATTTTTGGTGAAGATATGTTTATAAATATGCAAGAACTTAACACAATTGAAATTAAATTTGAAATACTTCAGAATTAATTATGAGAGCAGTATCATGCAGATATCAAATGCCATAACAAAGAAAATATCTAAAAAGGGGGAGAGTCTTTTTGAGAAGGGAACAAAAGTGTTTGGTAACTTCACAGCCTATTGTACCCATGGTTTCTGTAAAGCTAGCAGTCAATTCCAACATTGCAGCAAAACTTCTAAAGTGTCCAAGGAGTCTATTGCTTCCTAGTGGATGGGTGGCATGATATTGTCCTTCTTACATTCTTCTAATGACATATCATGCATATTGGACACACTAAAGACACCAGATTCTACTGGAGCACACATGGCAATACCATCATTTGCACTAAGAAACTCCTCAAAACTAAAACCAGTTTTTTTTCTTTTCTTTTTTTTTTTTTTCTTTTTTCAAGAATATTCTATTTGTTATCGCAATGATCCTGATTTTCAAGTAATGTAACCTGTGCTGGTTATGTTTTAAAGAATGCATTGTATTTTGTGAGTTTTTCAATTAAATGGGGTTGATTATTTTTGAACAAAGTTCTAGCAGAGAAACAACAGGGGGAAAAGTACAGAAAACTTTAAAAATTTGTATTAATAAAGAAATGTAATGATTCAGTGGGCTAAAAACGATTCATAATTCATGTTAACTAATAAAACTTTGTATAAGGTCAAGTACGTTGCTGCTAGGACCAAAATTTTGTTCGTGTTAACCAAGTAAGAAATCAAAAGCCATCTGTTCCCACCACGACCGTTAGATATTGTATGTATTTGGAAAGAAAGAATTGTTTAATCTTGTAGCTGTTAAAGTGTTAAGATGATATTTGAAAAGGAGAACATTCTGCAAAAGATATATTTATTGAAAGTATTTCATTAATATGGATTTTCAGTAATATTTTTAGGCTTCATTAAAAAGAAATTAGACTTTTTAAAATTACATTTGCTATAATACGTTGGTAATATTTTTGGTTAAATAGAATTTAAATTGATTTATACATGTAAGTATTCTAAATTTTTTAAATGTAAAGTTAGAAAATGTCAGTGGAACTCTTCAATTAACTCTTCATAAGATTTAAAGGTTTAAGTAGTTTCCCATGAAAATTTAGTTATACTTATTTCCTCTTTTAAGATTTGTACCAAGAATTTGATTATGTTTCCAAGAATTTATGCTTGTGAATAAATGCGTGAATTGCATTAAAACAAATTCTAGGTGCAGATGAATCATAACCACATTTTTTAATTATAGAATTGCTAAAAAATATATGAAATGTTTGAATGTTGTCATAAAGTGATTATAAATTTAAATAATATTTTGATTAGTTTTCATTTTATGTTTACTTACACATAGGTCGTTTAAGGTTGACCAGGATTTAGGTACGTAAATAATCGATGAATCGCCGAATCATGATGAAACTTGCGGGTGACGTAATGTATTTCTTCTCGAGTAACTAGTGCCCGGCATGACGTATTTGGCACATGCACAACTGTTGCAGCGAACATAGTGGCAAGCAGTGTGTCGTGGTTGTGGAGCAGTGGTGTGTAATCAAATTTCTTGTGAAGGAGAAAGTTAAACCAGCTGAGATTTTCAGAAGATTGTAAACACAGTATGTTGAACAAACATTGCCACAGAGAAGAGTGTACAAATGGTATGAATAGATGCACAAAGGATGGGAACTGATGACAAATGAAGCGCATGGACACATTTGCACGACTGCAGTCACACCAGTGAATATTGCATGTGTTGAGCAAATGATTCTTGAGAACTCCCAAGTAACAGGGCAGGATATTGCTGCCAAGGTGAATATCAGTGTTGGGAGTGTTGAGATAATCACTCACAACCACTTGCGCTTCTGCAAAACTTTGTGCAAGATGGGTTCCCTGCCAGCTGACACGTGATCAGAAGTGGTCACGCATGAAGGTCTGTGAACAGATTCTGAATCGATTTTGAGCCGAAGGTGATGAATTATTGCAATCCATCAACACGTGTGATGAAAGATGGTTGCACAATTCAACCTCAGAGACCTAAAGAAGCAGCATGGAGTGGCAGCATAAAGGTTCCCTGCCGCCCAAGAAATATGCAGCTGACCGCTCAAAAGGTCATGGCAAGTGTCGTCTGAAATATGAAGGGTGTTTTCCATGTGTATTTTCTGGACAAAGGTAGCACAACTACTGCCCAGTATTACTCCACATTGTTGAATAGGGCTGTATGAAAGTCCATTCGCAAGAAAAGATCTGAGATGTCTGGAAATGTCCATTCTTCTCTCCATGACAATGCTCGCTCTCACACAGCCAATGTGACAACAACTCTGGCTGAAATGTGTTGGGGTAATTGTGCCCCAACCCCCTACAGTCCAGATTTATTCCCCAGTGATTATCATTTCTTTGCACTCCTTAAAGACAATCTGGAAAGGAAGAAATTCACTGCAGATGAAGCGCTGCGGAACGATGTCCTCCAGTGGCTAGGACAACAACTAAGTCTTCTACACCAAAGGAATCAGGGAGCTGCCGCAATGATGGCAATGGTGTCTCAACACACACGGAGAATACTTGGAAAGCTGATATAGTTTGGTGCTTCTTGTGCTATCTGTTTCCTTTGAAGAAATAAGAGTTCCGATCAACCTTGAACGAACCTTATATTTAATTAAAAAACATTCATTATTAATTAACACTTTAAAAATTGGCTGATTTTTGTGCATTTTAATATCTATTACTGCATACATAAACTGAAGCTTTTAATTTATGTTCAGTCTTCACATATCTCAGGTGGCATTGGTTTAGGTAAAAATATGCTGATTTCTTCTTTTTAGGCTAATAAGCAGAATTTTTTTTTTTTTTTTTTTTTTTTTTTTTTTTTTTTTTAATGTAAAAATTCTTCTCTGTTGGCTTTCCTTCCCTTAATACTGAGGGGGGAAAAATGTACTTTGGATGTTTTTATTGTGAATGCACAGTACTGAAATAAAAAAAAAATATAGTATTGAAGATAATAACTGTAATTAACTTTGAAATGCTTTACTACAACAGCATGTCTATTCATATAGGTTTCTAAAACCATTTGACAATCCAAGTTCTTTTCTAATTCTCCCTTCCCCAAGTGGTATACACCATATAGTTTCCCCATCAGTTTTCAAGTGGTAATATTTTGAAAAAATGCTAGCAAATGTAGTGTTGAAAATTCTTATTTCAGTCCTAAATTTTTTAGCATAAATTTCAACTTTGATTCTTCTCTCATCTGTGTATCAAGTGATCATGGAACAGTTCATATTTTTGCTGTAGAAGATAGTAAGAGGAACAAACAGTCAAGGTAATTGTATTATTTCAGTAATTTAGTTCAATAGTTTTCAAGTCAATATCTTAAATTTCTATATTTAATTTATATATACAAAAAAAAATTGAAATGTTTCAGATTTAAATTACGTCCAAAGGGGCGTTTTTTAACATTTGTGTGGTTACTTTTCTTTATTAAATATCATGTTCCTCGCACTTAAACCATAAGATCCAGTGCAACAGCAATATCGCAAAATAGTTTTAAAACGAGCATATCTTTAGAATTTCCGATACAGAGACTCATGCGCTGGAGATAAAAATGTTTTTTCTGCACAACGTTGCCATTGCTCGCTTTGAAATCCTTGAGTTTGTTAATCAAAAATTCATCAAAATTTTAAAAAATAGGAAATCGATCATAAAACAAATTTCAAATTTCAAATTTGGTCTTCCGCATGCTCATATTCATTGGAGGATTACGTTATTCAAAATTTGATGACTCTATGTACCATTGTTTTATCACAATACGAGAAATATACATACATTTATGCAGATTTTTCATTATTTAATTTCTTCAAATATAATGCAGGACTCTAACATTTTGTGGCAACAGTTTGAAAAGTGAACCGACATTTATGAGTCCGACGCAAAATGCCAAAACGAAACTAATAGTCCTTCGGGATTCAAATCCCTTTGGACTAAAAAATTTATATCTATAGGTGAAACATATTTTTTGTTATTAACATGTTTTATATGTATAAACATGTTTTTGTGTTATTAACATGTTTTATATACAGGGTGATTCTAAATTGTTTTTACAAATTAAGAGAGGTGATAGTACGCATCCAGATGATCAATAATTACCATAGAACAAAGGGTCGTATTCCACTCCGAGAGGCAGAAAAGAGGAAAGTAGAAATGCATCAAGGAAGAACAAGGAGACTATCTTCTAAGACTATCAAGAATAAACCGTATGCAAATTTTCACTGTGAAGAAGCAGCATTTTGCTCTTGGTTGGTACCAAAGAAAGCCAAGCAGAGCAAATGGTGTCCTTGAAAATGGCACAACATCATTGCTTCAAGTACAGTCAAATACCGAAAATCCGCCAACTCCTGAAATCCGTGTTGCCTCTCAAAATATAAACATTCTGTTTATTGGTTTTGGAAACCGAAACATTGAGTATGGAATATCGAAGAAAAAATATCTACCGAATAATAATAAGTCATAATGGAAATACTAAATTATTGACATTATGATAAAAGTTTTTTCCCTTCTAATCTGCATTGAGGTAAAAAAGCAGACACTCTTCTTTCAAGTTCATGATTCACATTGTTGTATTTTCTGAGCTTTGTTATTTCACAAGATTATTTAGTGCTGCCTTTTTTTTAATCTGGATATTTTGTGGATAAATTAAGAATATTTTCAATTTCAGCCCTTTTTAATACAATTATAGATAAGAAACACACTCATTATTTTACTGCTTGCAACGTTGAAAAATGAAACATGTTGCATTGACGGTAATGCAAAAAGTGCAAATTCTGCAAAAAATGGAGACAGGTGCTACTCCTCAGTTTGTAGCAGAATCGTATGGAATTGTGACACGTTTGTGTATGATATACGGAAAAATAAAGAAAAGCTGTTGAAATTTTACAGCAACAGTGATTCTAGCATGGAATCAGAAATCTTTGCATGAGGCGAAATCGGCAAACCTCGATTCTGTGTATATATAATACAGTGAATAATATAATCAATTTATATATGTAATAATAATAATTTAATGCATATAATAAGTTATTGCAATAATGTATATAATAATTTAATTAAATGTATTTAATACGCCTTATTTATTTTGCACTTTTAGTCTGAAAGTTATGATTTATCTTTTCTGTCCTGAAATCTGCAAAATCCTAAAATGCACACAACCTCTGGTCTCAAGCTTTGCGGATTTCTGGACTTTTACTGTATTACCATAATAATATCGTCTGAAACTTTTCATGAATGCTGTGACGGAGTACACGTACGAGGAATTGGTGGATCTTCACATATGGTGAAGCGAAAGGGAATGGACGTGAAGCACGAAGATTGTACAAACAGCGATTTCCAACTCGTCAGTTCCAAGTCATGCAAACGTTTCTGGTGTTAATAGAAGACTACGAAAAACCTTTTCTTTTTTCGTCTCTTTTGCCATCAAGCAATGTAGGATGTTCATGAAATCACAATTGCAAGAAATGGAAGGGCGAGTTTTTACTAGATTTGAAGCAGCTCCTTCCACAAGTACGCAAGCAGTGGCATACGAAATGGGTATTTCTCAGCCAGTGGTGTGGCGTATTTTGCACGAGGAACACTAGCACCCCTACCACGATCAGCACGTGCAGTCTTTGGATACAGATGATTATCCCTGCCAGGGAGACTTTGCTCAATGGATGCTTGGAATGAGGAATAATGATCCACGATTTCCTGCGTTAATATTATTTATTGATGAGGCAACATTCAGCAGAGAAGACATTTTCAGTATGCACAATTAACACGTTTAGTCCGACAGCAATACCGACTGCACTACCCATCATAAATTCCAGCAGAAAATTTCCATAAACATCTGGATAAGTATACTAGGTGATTACCTGGTAGGCCCTTACGTCATGCCAGACCGTTTGACTGGCGTAACATACCATATGTTTTTGGAACAAGTGCTTCCCAATTTATTGCAGGCTGTTCCGCACACCATCCAGAGAGACATGATTTATTTATGCATGATTGACCTCCAGCACATTTTTCCGTCACGGTTTATAACCTTTTGAATGCTGTATATCCTGCACGATGGATCGGATGTGGTGAGCCTGTGGCTTGGTCTCCTCGCTCACCAGACCTTAACCCACTCTAATTTTTCTAGAGGGCACATGAAATCTTTAGTGTATAAGATGCCTATAGACTCAGCTGAAGATCTCATGGCAAGAATCAGTGTTGCCACGGACAAAATTAACTGACACCAGGAATCTTCGAGAGGGTGCGCCAATTGTTTCTTTCCCGATGTCAACCGTGCAACGACACAATGTGGTTGGCATTTTGAGCATTTTCTGCAAATTTTTTAATAAACATTAAATCTGATTGCACAGCTTTTGGTCAAATTCATTCGCTTTCCCAGCACTGTTGTAAGTTCAGGTTGGAATTCTAATATTCCTCTTTTCTGCCTCTCAGAATGAAATGCAACCTTATATGGTATGGTAATTATATGGTAATTATTGCTTGCCTGAATGGTTACTATCATCCCTATAAAATTTGCAAAACAATTTAGAATCACCCGTGGTATAAGTGTAAATATTTTAAAAATTCATAAAAACTGAAGGAATTAGTAAAATTGAACACGATTTGTGAGAAAGTTACTCTCATTAAGATTTTTTTTTAGGTAACGAAAAATATTATTAAAATTTTTTCTTGATAGAATGCACCACATAGATGCAGTAACAAGAAATATGTAAATCAGAGTCATATAAATTGTGGGTTTTACAACTAAGAGCTTATTTCTGATTTTTCTGTCTGTTTACCCTGCATAAAGTTTTAATTATGATGCTGTCATTAGTTGATAAAGCCTTATTAGTAAAGCTGTTTTACCTAAGCCAAGATTTGCCGACTGAAGTTTTATGAAGGCTTCAAACCCAGAAGGGGTGGAAGAAAAGTTCAGGTCTAATCAGTCTTGATGCCTTTACTGAGAAGCCCATGCATTTGCCACATTTGACTGTGTGTCGTGATTTCATAATGTCCTTGACACAGTGACGTTTATGCAAAATGGCACACCTCATCACAAAGTGAAGACGTTTCTAAGAAGAACCAAAGAATGATTAATTAGCCATCACTGTCGAAATGATTGGCCCTCCTCGCTCGCCGGACTTAATACCACTTGATTTTTGGCTTATGGAATTATGTCAAGTCCAGCGTATATAACAATAGCCCATCTTCTTTGGATTAAAAGACTGATAGACTTAATTAAAGGATGCCATTCATCACAAAATCTTATGCATCCATTTTCATATGCTACATGCCGCAGTTAACAGTGTTGTAACTCGCTTGCAAACTGTAATTTGTGGTGATGGCGGGCACACAGAATAAGAGTGATGTGCTTGTAAACATCTGCCTGTATCCAAATAAATATATAGTTTTCCTTGAAATGTGTGATTTGCTCTCGTATAGCTCCCTCTATCGACAAGAAATATAACTTTTTTTTTTTAGCTAAAAAAAATTCCTCCCTTCATGAGGACTTTTTCGCAAACCACGTTCAATTGTACTAATTCCTCCAATTTTTAAGAATTTTAAAAATATTTACGGACTTATGGGACACCCTGTATATATAAACATATTTATATGTGTGTGTGTGTGTGTGTGTAAGATGAAAAAAGTATAAATCAAAATGACCTAAATTAGCAAAAGCCTTTTAATTCTTCATTTTAATTGGGTATTTTTCCTTTCTAGTCTAAAAGCAATCGTTTATAATTGCTTTTTCTGGACTGAACAGGACCGGATTTAGATTTGACAAGATACTAGGCTATTTTAGATATGGGGCCCTTTAAAAGTGTTAGGATTCTTTTTCTTTTTTTTTTTTTTTTTTTTTTTTTTTTATGAGATATGGTGCAATTTTTGTGGGTGGCCTTGAGAAAGTGTGGGCTCTAAGCTATAGCTTGTGCAGCTTACATGTAAATCTAGCCCTGGGACTGAATCATATCTAGATTAATCCATATTATATTATATGAATTTTACGTAACACTCTAATGGAAACAACTTGCACAAATTTTCAGCCAATAATTTTAGAGCTTTATTAATTATTTAGCCATATGAATTGAAACTGAAATTATCCCACACTAAATTAAGATTTCATTCTGAGCAGAGGGCACTTTATTCTTCTCTTCGACCTATCTAAACAGCTTCTAGTTTATCTATCTAGACTGCTATCTAGTTTGCTTCTCCTCTTTGACCTATCTAGACTCCTGCTGTGCTGTGTGCTTCTTATTAAGAATAATATCAAAAGTGTAAATGTTCTGGAACAGACGATTAATGTGCCAAATTATTTGTGGCTTCAAATTGTTTAACTGAATAAAAGAAACACTATTTAAATGTGTGCTAAAAAAAAAAACTTTCAGTGTAGTAGTTGTGTGTGCTTACGAAATACTCTTCTATGCGTTGACTTATTATCCAGCAGTTGTTTTATTTTTTTCATATTGACACTAAAAGTGTTTGGGAAATATAAAATTACTAATGTATTGTTTTGGAATTTGAACATGTAATGCCTTAAAGGAGGGTGTATTTAAATTAAAATTAGGAATTTAAAGGACTGTTACCAATTAAGTTAGTGATTTGTTAAATACTTTCTTTGATATTTTAATACCTTGCATATATTTATTTATTTGTTTCAGCTTAGCATCTGCATCATTTTTGCCCAAATATTTTAGCTCTGTTTGGAGTTTTTCACGTTTCCAAGTGCCTGGAGGGTCACACTGTATTTGTGCGTTTGGAACTGAGCCTAACTCTGTTATAGGTATTAAACTTATTCTTTTTCACATATTTTGTAAATATAAAAGAATCATATTTGATAAGCTTTAAATTGCTATTGCCATGACTAATTGGACCAAATTAATTAATATTTCACAAATAAATCTGTCTGTAATTAATGTGTGGTTGTCCACCTAATTGCTTTCATTTTAGTTAAGTATTCATGGCAAAATTCACATTCTTTTCCTGCTAAATTATTAACAATATTTTAAAATGCAATTGTTTAGTTTGATGTATTTTTGCTTAAAATCATCAATGAAAACATATTATCCAGTTATATGTATATACAGTAGAACCCTGCTATAATGAACCTTTCAGGCGTATCCAGTTTTCTCTACATGTAATATCGAGTTTTAACTAATGTTTCCTGCCACCGCAAATATCATCTGCACAGACAGTTCACATTGGCGTGTTTAATCATATTTTGTTAAACAATTTTTGGCATTTGAAAGAGAGAGACTTGCTTTAAAATACTGTGTTGTGAAGTTTGTAAAAAAATATCTTTATCATTAAGTACAAGGTGTCTGAAATGGAAATATTGCGCTACCAGATTAGAACCGTCATTTACCTCCGGTTCTGTAAAAAAAAGTCAGCTACAGAATGTCATCAAATCATGTGTGCAGCTTTAGGTACTAATGCTGTATGATATGACAGTGGGAAGGTTTGGTACCAAAGTTCAGACTATGACATTCAAGTAGCAGAATGCTCTGGCCTACTGATGTTGATGGGCTCATCTACAAGAACTTGTTGAAGGAGGTCAATGTGAAACCATCGAGAGTTTGCTAAGGAGTTAAACGTTAGAGTCATGTGCATTAATCATGCTGTGCATCACATAAACTTTAAGCACAAGTTCAATCACTGGGTGCGCATGAGCTGACTCAAGCAGATAAGGACAGATGTTCAAGCCCTCACTAATCTGCTCAAATATCAAGACAAAGACAAAAATCTTGACCGAATCATCATTTGTAGTGAAAAGTGGATTTACTTCAAAAACACAGGCCAAAAGGGGGTGATTTTGTGCTTGGTGAGCACGTCGGTAGTGTCACAAACCTCGATTTGAATTAGAAAAATATCATGTTTTTCATCTGGTGGGATCCACAAAAAGTATCTGGAAAGATGTAAAACCCTCAACAGTAAGGTCTACAGCAAGATGCTAGTCTGTGTTGATGCTGTTATCAAGGAAAAATGCCGAACTGATTTCCAGCACAAAAATATTATGTTCCAGCAAGATAATGCAATACCACATGTGTTTGCGTTCACCAGCTGGACTCTGTATGGACTTGAATGGGATCTTTTCCCACACCCACCAGATAGCCCTGACATCATTCCTTCGGACACTTACCTTTTATCACATCTGCAGCTACATCTTGTTGGTGCCATCTTCAATCATGCCCAGGATGTCCGAAATAAGGCTGATCTGTTTTTGAACTCAGACCAAGTTTCTGGGCTGAAGGCTTTAAAAAACTACCAAAACGTTGGCAGAAAATCATAAATTTTGGTGGTGATTACTGCTTGCACTAAAGGTACTGCTTTCATTTTTTTTTTTTCCCCTAACTTTATTAAGGATGTTTTTTTGGTGGAAAACTTTCTTTACAACCAGATATTATTTTACTCTATTATAGACCTCCAAGAGTGTCAGATATAACAAAATGTATGGATATTTTGCATTGAAATATGTTTTGTATTTTTCATATTTTTCCAGTATTGTTGTAAGTTTAAGGAAAAAATTACCATCTCTTAAAATTATCTGCATTTGGGATATTGGATCCTTTCTAAAAATCATCTGCATTTTAGATCAACCTTTCATATGTAAAGCAAAACACTATGTTATTTTTCTTTTATCTTCACCTCTCCCACTTTTCTCCGTGTTTGAAACAGAGGCTATGCGAGATGTGAGGGACAGCTAACTGTAGGAAAACAAAGATATAACAAATGTACCTTAGGACATCACAGGATGTACATGACCATTGAACCAAAAAATTGAATGGGTTTTCTGTTTCCATTCAGATTCTTTGGCTGAACTCTGCTAGATATGCTCTGATGCTATGGTGAAAGTTGTGAAATTTCGACTCTTCTGGAAAAGAGGAAATAGTAATTCTTATGAGCTTACAGTTGATTCTTCTTTTAGGGACTTAAAAAGTTTTGATTGTTGTTGGTTAATTTGTTTCTGTATAAATGCCCTCAAAGTTCTCTCTTCCAGAAAAGGATTTTGCATTCTTTAGTTCTTTTGCAAGCTGTGAAATATCCATTATAAATGTTAATGAACATTTATATTTCTGCCATGTGTACATAAATAAAATCTTGGGAGAAATAACTGTGTTTTCAATGGACGTAAGGAAGATACATGG